TGGAACTGACCCAGTTCTCCTTAGAGAGAAAGAGACAGAGACAGAGGAACAGAGAGAGAAAAAGAAGGGGAGGGTGAGGACAAGTGAAGGAAGAAGAGAGAAGGGAGGGGGAGGGAAGGGAGGGGAGGGAAGGGAAGGGGAAGGGAGGGTAGGAGAGGGGAGGGGAGAAGGGAGGAGAGGGGAGCAGAACACTGCTTTTCAATGTTTCCTTCAGTGAGAAATTGGAAGGGAGTAAAGTGAAGGGTTGCATTTACCTTTTCACCCAGGTTGGTCAGGTTTGCTATGCTACAAGTCGAAGCAAGAACCGTGGTAGAGGAAGAAACTCTTCCTAGATAGCAGTTGTAATGTGACATTTAGAAGTATCCCTTAAAACATGATAATGATTAAAATAGAAAAGAAATGCATGCAAATGTAAAATGGGTGACTTATGGACATTGAGATCCTTAGATATATATTAGTCTTTTTATCTCTTTATGATCAACTCTTTCTAATAACATCCCTCAACTTACTCTGGGTAATGTGATCAAGAAGCTGAGCATGTATGTCACTTTTCTTCACATCTCATCGGTCAAAACCTTGTCACATGGCCCTATTTAATTGCATCAGAGGCTGGGAAATCATTTCTCTATCTTGGTTGCATGAGTCTTTTCTAAGTTATGGTGTGAATAGTTTGCTTTTTACACTAAAAGGAAGAGTACGATATAAGAGTAACTATTGGTACAATCAGAAAAAAGCACATCAAGCACATTAATCAAAGCGCATTTCAAAGGGCTTTGATTACTTATCTCATGAAAGTTCACACTGTCTAAAGTAAAATAAGAAAATATATTTTACTGTGTTCTGAAATCCTGCTTGCTTATCTCTAGGTTTGTTTCCTATAAAATGCTGAAGGTCCATGTAAATTTTAAGTGAACATTATTATGAGTACAGGGTTTACTTTACTACAACCATATGAAAATCATCTCCTGAATTTTTTCTAATCATGTTCTACTTTTTTTTTTCCCCTTTATTTTATTTTATTTTTTTTAAAGTTGTAGATTTACAATTTTTTGTGCTTTGGTTTCAATTATACAATGATCAGATACCCATCCCTCCACCAGTGCCCATCTTCCACCACCATGGATAATATCCCTCCCACCCCCATCCCCCCATCCCCCCGTCTCTGTGGCAGGGCAATCCCCTGTGTTCTCTCTCTCCTTTTGGGTGTTGTGGTCTGCAAAAGAGGCATTGAGTGGCAAACATGTTCAGTCCATAGTCTACTTTCGACAATCATGTTCTACTTTTGACTATCAATCTCACTCAAAGGAATTTTGATGTTTTTAATCAACCACATTCTAAGGCTTGTGCCAACTTTTTGTTGTTTTTTTATCATCTAATATCATCTAATATTGATTTCAATGTAGCATGGCCAAGGTTAAGCAAATGTTTTGATGTCTTCCAGAACAAATATTAAAGAATGGTCTGAACTCAGGCAACTCTACCTTTGGATCACCCCTAACCTAGAGGTTACCAGACCCTGGAGTTTCTCTTCAACATCCCTGGGTCTTCTTTGCTTTGTTGGTCTGCTTTTTGTATCTGACTTAATATGAGTTAGCATGCAACCCTGAGTTTACTTTCAGGGGTACATGTTGTTTGAGTGGTTGAACTGACCTTATTGAAAGTGCGAATTCTTAGGCCCAACTATAACCAGACTTAGGCCACCTTTCCAAGACAAAAAAAATTGGTATATTTTGCTTGTTTAATGATGGAATAATAGCCTTTGTAATATAAGTAGATAGTGTATCAATACATAGGGGAAAAAACTATGTAAATTTCATTCACTAACAAAAGATTTCTCCTTCCTTATAATGGGCATTAAAGATAAGACTCAACTAACACTCTGCCTGGAATAATATATTCTCAATAAATTCTTAACTATTTATAATTAATTGCCCTTGGTGTTGTTCCTTAGGCCATGGGACAAAGACATAATGAGTTTCCCATGGGAACACAGAGGAATAAACCATAATTTTTCAGGCTCTTTCTCTTTCTCTTAGTAGGGATTAAATTCACTATCAAAATGGAAAGAAGAGAGTTCCATTTGGAAATGCAAGAAGAAGAGCGCTTGAGAAATACTCTCTTCGCCCAAACTTAGCATATCATCACAATAATGGGGTAATGCAAAAATTACAGAATGTCTCCCCAGATTTTACTCTACTTGTGAAATTCCATAGGGAACTGGCCAAGCTTTTATAGAACCTTCGAACAGTGTGAGATCAGAAGACCTTGATGGCGAATGTTTGCGATCCAACTGTTTCTCTGGCTTATATCCAGTGGTAATATATTAGGATATTCTGGACCCCCCAGTAGGACACCAGAATGTTATAGGAGCAGCATATGGTATCTGTCCCCGATTGATTGATACAAAAGGATTCTTTCCTAATTATTTGGCAAAGTTATCCCATTTTTCCTCTCTTTCAAAAAATAATTCTCCACTTTAATGAATTTTCCAATCAGCTTCTTCTTGGTAATTCATTTGGCATTAAAACCATACACTCCTAATAATTCACTCTTCTTTCACGGCTCAATTTGTAGACTACAGATAAGTCCATTCTTTAAGCTGCATGGCATGATTTTTAATAGCACATAGAGTTCTCTGGTTGATTTTCTGGTTTTGAAACTTTAATAGAATTTACTTTGAACTCCTTTTCTCTCTTACCTAGAATTGACATGACAGTGTATCTTTACTTTTTGGCTATATATATATAACCATGGAGTTACTTTTCTTTAAAATTCGTCTTTTCTAAAAACCCCAGCAACATAAATCTCTGTTTCTTTATAGGTTGCTATCCCACACAGAAATGACAATTGAAATAGTTGTCTATAAATTAAAATTAGACTTAAAATTTGGCCAACTTTCCCATCAAAATGAAAATCAGCTGACATAACTTCATTTCATGTACCTAACATGAATGAAGGCAGTCAAATTTACTTGTACAGAATCTTCATTTCACCAAGAAGCTGAAGTATTAAAATCTAGTCACTACATAGAAAGGTTGCGTTCATCTGGGGAACAAAGTATCAAAATAGGAGACTAACACCCAAGAATAGCCGAGATAAGTAGCAGGAGGTTCACTCCATGACTTAGAGGCCAGCCATGTGCAGCTCAGATAGAGAAGCGAGTACCAAATAAAGGGTGTTGGGCGGATCCTCCCAGGATGGGAGATACATGATGAAAGTAGACTATAGACCAAACATGTTTGCCACTCAATGCCTTTTTTGCAAACCTCAGCAACCAAAAGGAGAGAGAGAACAAAAGGGAATGCCCTGCCACAGAGGCAGGGTGGGATGCGGGGATGGGGGTGGGAGGGATACTGGGATCAGTGGTGGTAGAAAATGGGCACTGGTGGAGGGATGGGTATTTGATCATTGTATCATTGAAACCCAAGCACAAAAATTTGTAAGTCTACAACTGTACCTCATGGTGTTTCACTAATAAAAATTTTTAAAAATCCTAGTCACTTTTCTTAATGAGTAGCTGGATTTTATGTTGTTGTTATTATTATTTTTGCCATAATTGGTTCCATTTGTACATTCTATTTTCCCCACCCCTAGTCAGGTACGGTGAACCAACAGCTTTTCCCTAAATATTTTGATTTTTGAGAAGTAATGTAGGAGAAATTAGGAAAATGGTCTGCTTTATTAGGTTATGGATGTATATTATTAGCGTAGTGGTAAGGGGCCGGGTCCCTTCAATGAGTGGGTTCAGAAGCTAGAAGGGATTAGAGTATGATTTCCGCAGAGTGCTTCTGTCACACACACACACACACACACACACACACACACACTGAACATCACGAATGCCTGTTGAAGGAAGGCACAACACAGATCACTTCTGCACCCAAATAGAGCTCGCCACCTGGCTTTTCGTGGTGGCCCTTTGCACAGGCGGTTTCTGGAAGTGCATATCTGTCATCTGTTTGGTTGATGTCCCCCACCTACCCACTCCCAACCCGGCGGCACTTTAAGGAGGAGTCTATAATTAGGACTAAAGGAACTTCAGAGTTTCCCTTTAGCGGCCCAGGGCTGGAGCCTGGGCAAAGGCGAAAGCTGCGGGCATCTGGGCTGCAGGAGCGGTGGGATCCAGTCGGAGTCCCCTCCCCCCGGCAGGTGTTCGCCTCTGGGGCGAGCAGCTTATCCCTGGGGGGTGGGGTGGGGGGTGCTCCTCTCCCATTTGTAGATCCACTCCTAAGGGGAGGAGGCGGCTGTCCCCGACGCGGGCCGGGCCGGGTCTGGGCGAGGGTCCGGGGCGGTGGGGAAGCAGCGGCGGCGGTGCAGGTGTGGGGTGCGGTGTGTGTGTGTGTGTATGTGTGTGGTGGGGGGGGCTCACCCCGAGACTGCAGTGACGCTGCCCTCCCCGGGCCGGGAGCGGCAGCTCACTGGTGCCGGGTCTGCGAGCACGTGGCTACGTCACGGAGAGCCAGTCCTTTCCATGCAAACTTGCATCCTCCTCCCTCCCATGCCTGGGACTGGCTTGGGCGGACGCGCAGCCCGGAGCAGCCCCGTGCGCGGCGGCGGCGGCGGCGGCGGCGGCGGCGGCAGCGGCAGCGGCGGCGGCGGCGGCGGCGGCGGCGCGGGGACCGGGACAAGCCGAGGCTGCAGCCGGGGGTCCGCGGGCGCGCTGCCCTCTCGCACCCTGACCGCGGCCGGGGGGCCCCCTGCGCCCGCAGCAGCTCCCCTTCGTGCGGATCCATCGAGGACTCGCAGGTCCGGCCCGACCCCGCCGAGCCCGGGCGGCTGACGATGATGATGATGATGATGAGATTTTAGAACGACTCGGGGAGAAGCGAGGCTGTGTCTCTGGCTCCGGCTCCGAGGTGGTACCCGGGTGTGCGCGCTGCTGATTTTTTTTCTTTCCTTCTTTCTTTTTTTGACCCCCTTTCTTTCTTTTCCCACCCCACCCCCCCACCAGATCCTCTCCTCGGGGTTACGCTATGGCAGTGCTCGCTCCGTGAGCCCCGTCCTGACCCACCCACCCGCCTGGCCGCCAAGTCCAAGGCTATGGTTTTCGCCCGGGGGATCTTTTGTGCATTTTTGTTCTCCCCGATTAGTTCTGATCGCAGTTGGGATTTCTTTGCCTTTTGCCTGGGCTTGATGCTGAAAGAGGATTTCCCCCCCAGCCCTTGGGTGATCATCCAGTGGTGATCGAGGGGATAAATCATTCACCCTGGCCGAAAAAAAACGATCCCTGGGAAGTCTCAAAGAAATATACCACGTGAGGGGAAAATACTGGGAGAAGATTCGGAATATTATCGTTTTTCCTATGGTAAAGCCGGCGCCCCTCTTCAGGAGAACTGATTTCAAATTATTATTATGCAACCACAAGGATCTCTTCTCCCTCAGGGTGTCTAAGCTGCTGGATTGCTTTTCGCCCAAATCAATGTGGTTTCTTTGGAACATTTTCAGCAAAGGAACGCATATGCTGCAGTGTCTTTGTGGCAAGAGTCTTAAGAAAAACAAGAATCCAACTGGTAAGCCAAACATGCACCCTTGTTCTGTGTTTTGCTCAGAATGACCGGTCTGCTGCTGCTCGCCGGACTAGATCCGCAGCTGTGCTATGCAGGAAGGCAGGGGCAAGAGAAAATGTGTCAGGCTCGGAGAGGTGGATAAACAAGGAACAGCTGGATCGGCGTCTCAGCGCCCCCCACCCCCCTCCCCGAGACCAGCGTCTCTCGGCGGGGCCGCAAGGAGAGGGAGGAAAGTTTTTCTTGTAAAAATTGTATTTGGTGGCCTCGGGTTCGGTGCAGTCGTGAAGGGCGAAGGTGGCAGCTTTGGCAGCAGAAGCTTCGGGAGTTCCAGGGACCGCGAGCTCCCGCACTCCTGCTGCGGGGTGGGGAGCTAGGTGGGCGCGCTAGACTTTGGGGTTAGCTTGCACGACACCCACCGGGCCAGCATCCTTTCCAAAGTAAGGGAGTCCCTTTCCTCGCCGCCCCGCCGGCCCCCGCCTCCTCCTGGCGCCCGACTCTCCGCGCCTCCGGGTGTAGACACCCGGTTCCCCGCCGGCCTCGACCCCTGCAGCCCCCGAGGGAACCCTGGGCAGGAAGGACGCACCCGGGCCCGCTCAGAGATGTCGTTTCGACGCCCCCTTCGGCCGGCGGCCCCGCGTGCCGGGTCCAACGGGTGGGTGGAGTGGGTCGGTGGGTCCCGGGTTCCCTCCATCCCCGGGGCTCTCCCTGGCAAACTTGCAGCCCATTACATAAGGAATGCAAATGCAGGCGATTCGGGGCTACGGGTTGAACTTCCCGGTCGCCTCTCCGTCGCTCCCGGGCGCTTGGCGGGTGGCCGCAGCGCTGTGGGCGAGGCACCCGGGGAGGCCAAGCCCGAGGGCTGCGCGGTGGCGGCGGCGGCGGCGGCGGCGGCGCGCGGGTCCGCGAGGAAGGCGCGCGCGCGGGTTGCGGAGGCGTGTGGGTGCCCCCCAGCTCCGGGGTCTGGCTGCTGAGACCCCCGTGTGTGCCCCCGGCCGGCCCCCCTCCGCCTCCACCCCTCGGGGCGCGGCGTGGCCGTGGGTGTCCCGGGCCGCGTGGCGGGGAGGGGCGCGGGGGCGGGGGCCGGGCGGTCCAGCAGAGGCCTCCGGGGAGCGGGGATGAGGCTCCGGACTCCGGCACTGCGGTGTAGTAGATCACGGCTCCCCGGGGCCACGCTGACACCCTGGGCCCCGGGCAGCAAGTGGCTCAAGTGGCGGCTGGCTCGCACTCCCGCCCCTCCGCCCCCATCCCCCGAGCCTTGCAGAGCCGCCGAGCTGGGGCGGCGCGCCCCGAAAGGAGGAGGAGGGGGAGGAGGAGGAGGAGGGGGAAGAGAAAGAGGAGGAGGAGGAGGAGGAGGAGGAGGAGGAGGAGGAGGAGGAGGAGGAGGAAGGGGAGGAGGAGGAGGAGGACTGGTGGGCGGGGATGCAGGCGGTGGGTGTGGAGGCTGAGCACTGTGTGCGGATCAGGGAGGCGGCAGGGGGCGGGGGCGGGGGCTCCCGGCCCTGCAGCTGTCCCGGGAGGCGCGAGCGACTACGCGGTCCCTACAGGCAGGTGCCATAGGCCTCGGGCAGCGGTGCCCAGGCGGGCGCGGTGCTGCAGTGAGCGGCCGGGCTCCCGACGTCCGGGAATTCTCCGACCCGCCCGCCAGCCCCGGGGTCCCGACCTGCGCCCCTCTCGCTTCCCCGCCGCCTCCTTCATCCTTTCACCGTCCTCTGGGCATCTCGGAGGCCCCGCACCCCAGAAGACAGCCGAGCGGCTCCCATCCCATCTGCATGCAGAGCCCCCGGGCCTGGCAGCGAGCACCCCCACTTGCTGGGGCCTCCCCTCAGCGCTCTTCAAGTTCCGGAGCAAGAGTGGCAGAGGTCCCGGTGGGGCTGCAGCTGGAAGGGTTGGGAAGTTGCTTCCTCCCCCAGGAAAAGTGGGATTCAGCCTCCCTGAGGCCCCCAAGAAGGTCTCGCTCTAGTCTGGGAAAGGAGTCCAGGAAAAGCAGTTTTCTTTTCTTTCTTTCTTTCTTTCTTTCTTTCTTTCTTTCTTTCTTTCTTTCTTTCTTTCTTTCTTTCTTTCTTTCTTTCTTTCTCTTTCCTTTCTTTTTTTAACTCGGCCATTGGTCTGGGGCCCATGAAGTCAGTCTCCGTGGAGAGAGGGAATGAATTTAGATGGGAGCAAGAAATCGCTTTGCAGACCTTTAGCATTTTTTTTGTTTCCGCCCAAACCAGTTTTTACTAGAAACACTGATTTCCCCTTCTATAGGATCCCAGAGCTTTTCATGACATTTCCCCCACCCACTTTCATCTCTTGGGAATAAGGTAGATTTCTTTTTTCCATTCCAAGGTGTCAAATGAATGACGGATTATTTTTAGAGCAATTTGTTTTGCAGCTTACTAATGCTAAGGTACTTGGCTGAGAATTGATGGGTTAATTCAGAGTGTATGTATCTACCTCAGCACCTCTTCTAATGGACAGTTCATGTTATGTTCCAGGGTTGGAGTCCAAACTGGGAGTTGAAACAGTAAAACATTTGTTCAAGAGTGAAACATTCGTGTGCATATTCTGTATCTTACCTTGGAAAAGTTTTACCTCTAGGGCCCAATCAAACCCATACCTGGCCGTTAGGAAAAAAAATCTAGGTTCCAGGCCTGCTTACTGCTCCAATATGTTAGAGCAGGCTTACATTTCCTTTCAGGATTGTAGTTGTTCAATTCTGTTCTTCTTCCTCTATTAGCATGAGTCATTCGCAGGGTTGTGATGCTAAGATAGCACAGCAACTAAGAAATTACTTGGATGATTGAAATAATGCAAAGACTTAAAATCTTCTTAACTGTTGAAACTCCAAAGAACAGGGTGAATTACTACCTATTATGTTATCTTACATCTAAAATGAAGATAATTAACTGGTTTCAGAGGACATAGTTTGGCAGAATACCACCACGTAGCAGAACTCAGCACCTGAATAGTCTGTAAAGACTTTGATTAGATTTTTTTCTCCCGAATCATTGCAAGTTATAAAAGAATTTGCAATTATTATCAATTCTTTAAACTATCAATAAGTGTACTTAGTTTAGTCAATGGTTCCTGGGGAAAAACTAAGAGTACTCCTATATAATCAGAAATCACCTTGGGGTGAAAATAAGTACATAATAAATATGAGAATTGAAGGGCAGAGTTACTCATCTACCCAGATTATTAATTAGCTATGAAATATTTAAATAAGAGGTGATGAATATTTTAATAGTTTTTTTAAATGTAAAACTTAGCATTAGGAGAACAAGAATTTTATCTCTGCAGGATATGTACTTTGTAAAATAATTACAATAGCTTTGGAAGTTGGATATAAGAAAAGTTACTATCTTCATAACGAAAGGTGCAGCTCTTATCTGAGAACATGCACACATTCACACACCCACACCCACATATACACACACATACATTTAAATGACCTACTTTATGCCACACATTTTCTTTTAGTTTTGGGGCCACACCAGGCAGAGATAAGGGGTTACTCCTGTATCTGCACTCAAGAATTACTTCTGGCAGTGCTCAGGGAACCATATGGAATGACAGGGATTGAACCGTGGGTTGGCCTTGCTTGAAGCAAGTGCCCATCGTAGTATTAATTGCTTTAGCCCCTCTCCCCCACCCACTTTTCTACTAGAGCAATAGATGTTACCTGCTCCATTCCCTGCCAGAAGTCATGCAGAGGGACTGTTTTAGGCAAGCCATTAAGTAGAGAATACTAGGTCTAAGATGTTTATTTTGCCTAGAGGAAGGTTGGTAAGTTTCTTTACAGCTGGAATGATGGTTTGGACTGGCCAGATGTGTGTCACAGCCAACTCAGGACATAATCTAAGTGTTTGAACTTTGATGGTGGTAAGGAAAGGTCTCTGGGTCCCACCTGCCGGCCGGCACAATGGGCAGGGTGTTTGCTCACAGGCCACTGACCTGTGTTCCATCACCCCACATCCAATATGTTTACCCCAACACTTCCAGGATAATTCCCGAGTGCAGAACCAGAAATCACTGAGCATAGTCGGGTGTGACCCCCAAACAAAGACAAAACAAACCCCCAAAACCCCAGACAATGAAAAGTCCAGCTGAAAAAAAAAGTACAAAGTTCATGTTATGAGTATCCTTTACAATACTTAATATCCAAAGGGCAAAGGAAGCTATAATCCTCAAACACATATTCCCATTCAACACACATACACACACACATGCACACATGCATGTACACATATGCACACACACAAATGTGTGTAGAAACACATGAATGCACACAAGATAGTTTCATGACTTGATAGGATTTTGGAACATACAGTTTTTAAGGAACAGTCAGAAATGACTGTCACATGCCAGTATCAGGACAAGGAGCCGAGGAAGCACATGATCTCAACCTGGTTTTGCAGTGCATCTAGAAAGATCTCACACATTCTGTGAGGTGACCTTGAGTACTTCCTTTTTGGATCTCAGTCTTCCACTCTGCTACAGTACACTGAGAAGAAGCAAGTCTGCTTGGGAGAACTCCCTGAGATCTATTTTGTTCCTTGTTTGGTGTCTTTCAACTCTGCTCTTAGCTTTCACTCACCTGTTTTAGCTTCTGATTCTCACTTTGATATATGCTTTAATTTATTTTTTATATTTTCATTTTGAGCCACACTCAGTAATGCTTAGGGTTAACTCCTGATTCTGGGCTCAGGGATCACTCTGGGCCATGCTCAGGGTGCTGGGGATCAAACCAACACCTTATCTGCTGTACTCTCTTGCTAGCCCCATGTTTTCCTTACACCTAGGGTTGTCTTGGTGTTTGGAAGTAACCGAACAGAGAACAGGTTGGAAAATGGAGTTAGCATCTCTTACTCCTTCTCAGCCTGAGGACTTTTCCTGGTTGCTTGTAGGTCTGGTGATCCGCTGTGGATCCACGTGTCTGCCTTTCTAAAAACAGGCTGGAGCGATAGCACAGCAGTAGGGGTTTGCCTTGCGCGCAGCCAGTCCACCTGAGCCGGGTTTGA